TCTTCCCGGAAACCAAAGGCTAGATTTTGAAGCTCTATCCAGCGTGGTGGAGCTATGCTTAGGGGAGATATGTTTAAAAAACTACAGCAGGTTTCAATTAAAACCTCGCCAACAAAAGCCCATGGAAACACTCCAGGAGCCCAACACGGATGTTGAAAGGCTGTCTCATCTCACCTTTTCGGTGTGACTGACAGAAATGAGGGAAATCCTGACCCCGCAGACCTCATTCCGGCATCCGGGATCTGGAACTACAAAAAGCTCTGCAAATGGCTTAAAAAAGGCATTTGCAGAGGGACTTAAAAGAGCACTTTTAAGCACTTAAAAGAGCACTTTTCGAGGCAGCCCAGCAAGCAACTCGTAGAGACCACCACCCAATCAGAGCTGCGCAAGTCCACAAGCTAGTGGATCAAGTGATGGCTCATTTAGATTATTCATCCAGGCAAGTCAATGCTTTGGTAAAGAGTAGGAGTGAGAACAAATTGGCTCTAAAGTGTTGGATATGTAGTATACACACAGCAGAATTGCAGAACACCCAGGGCACGGGTGGGGGGGGGAAAATACTTTTCAGACAAGTCAATGCCTTAAGATGGAAGAGGAGTGAAAAGAAACCAACCCTAAAGTGCTGGAACTGTGATGTTGAAGGCCACATATGGAGGAACTGCAGAACACCCTAGGGCATGGAAAAATAAGGCCATTCCCCAACAACAATGCAGGAAATAAATTAATGGCCATAATGCTAAGAGGAATTTGAAGGATAACAAGAAGACCAATTTCTAAGCGCTTCAGATTTCTGCAGTGAGCGGCAGCAATAATATACTCTTCATCATGGGGCATACCAATGGAGTTCCTTATAATATGGTGATCATTACAAAAGTGAATGTTACCATCACTCAGATTTACCTCAATAGTGTAAACATAAACTCATTTGAACACCATTCTGTGTTACACTCCAGACTGCATCTAGTGATAAAATCGACATAAATGGAAAGTTAAACGTAACTGTCACGTTTGGAAGTACTGCCTACTATCACACGTCATATCTGGCAGATATTACAGATCCTTTTATGCTCGGATTGGGCTTTCTAAGAAAATACTAGTTTTCCTTGGATTTAAAAATGACGAACTGCTTTCAGCCTCTGAGGACATAACTATCCATCATCAGAAGGGATCCTGACCTGGAAATGCCGACATCTTGTCTGGTAGACCCTGCTCAGAAAGCTGCTGATATCGAAATATAGGGTTGAAGAGAAACATGAACTGCTGAGTGCAGTAACACAACATATTACAAAATCAACATCGGCTGATCGAGACCCATGGTGACAAGGAAATCAGGAAAGACTAGCTGGAAAACAGTGACATTAAACCCATGAATGAATAATAATTGAATTAATGGAGTATTCAAACAGAAAAATCTACCTGGCAGGACATATCGATATATAGTCCGACGACAAAACAATAATGGGCTCTCTGGGACTCGCTCCATATTTGAAACGGCATATTGTACCGGAAATTTGAATCAGATGATGGAAAGATTTATGGCAGCTGACACTTCCAAGATCCCGCATTCTGGACGTCCTTAAAAAACTACATAGCAGCCCTACTGGAGGCCACTTTGGAAAAATGAAGACCTTGCAGAGAGTTAGTGAGCACTGGAGGAAGGCAAAGGATGACATGCAAAAGTGAAGTTGACCTTGTGATGCCTGTGCAGGTCAGAAAGAAACGAAGAAACAGGAAAAAAGGAAAGCTGCAATGTTACAGTGTAGGAGCACATTTTGAATGTATCGCATTTAACATCCTGGTACCTGTGCCATGAACTACTGAGGCAACAAATGCATCCTCATTTTCATAGATTACTTCACCAAGTGGCCTGAAGCGTATCCTATTCCTCATCAAGAAGCTGTCACAGTAGCAGAGGTAATGATACAGCTCTGGATTTCCAGATTTGGAGTGTCTCTTTAGTTACATTCTGATCGAGGAAGAAATTTTGCATCAGCTGTAATTAAAGAACTTTGCAAACAACTCAGAATTGACAAAACCTAAATGACACCTTTACATCCTCAGTCTGATGGCATGGGAGAGAGATTTAATCGAATCATCCGTAGAAACCTCTCATTGGTAGTTTCCAGAAACCATCAGGACTGGGACAAGAAGTTACCACTGTTTGTACTGGCTTAGTGCAGTGCTGTCCACAAGACTACCGGCTATTCCTTATTTCAGATGCTCTTCAGTCATGCCTTTCTTTTGGCTTATGATCTCTTGTTTGGTTCACCCTCCAGACGTGCCTTCATCCTCTGAGGAATACATCCAAGATCTCCTCATCCAATTGATACACAATTTTGCACAAGAGCAAATCAATTTACCAATGGAGAAGATAAAGACTCGATATAACACGAGAGCTACTGGACATCGATTCAACGAAGGAGACAAGTTGTGGTTATGGAATCCTCCTTCGATGAAAAGGACTCAGTCCTAGACTACAGTCACCTTGGGATGGTCCTTACACAGTCCTAAAGAGGCTGAATGACGTTGTAGTTCAGATCCGCAAGTCATCGAATTCTAAGCCCAAAGTCGTACATTATAACAGGCTATCTCTTTGCTATGGCCATAGTACATAGTGTATATAATATAAATACCATAGACTATGGTCCTTTTCATTTCTAAATTTGTAAATTTTTGCACTTATTTATTGATTTAGTATTTGATTTGCTTTATGATACGTATTGCATTTATTTTTTATTTTGTTTGTTATTGTACTGTATTGCATTATTACATTGATGCCTTAGTTATAAGTATGGCTTTCTGCCCAGGGATTGTACTGCCCGAGATGTGCAGTCCTTGGGAAGGGGGCAGTGTTACAAATTTGTATTTAGTTAGCTATTTTAAGTAGAATTATAATTAAAATAGTTGTATTCCTCGTGCAATGCGGAGCGAGACAGATATTTAAGAGAAAACTATGTCGAAAAAGTAAAAAGGCAGGAGCACATGCATTTAACATTTAATAAATAGGTATCTCTTTAATTTGTATTGAATTAAATAAATGTAATTGACTACTATGTTAGCTGTAACCATAATTAAATCCTTTTATTGCTTTCCAGAAATCTTGAGAAGCGGAAACTGCAAGGACTATTTCACACGGCGTTTGAAAGCTATTTAAAGCTGGAGAGAGACAGCTCAGTTATTTAGTTAACTTCTGTTGTCATTGTTGTGAATTCGTGATGAGATTGGATTAGCTTTCTCTTTAAATGTGCTGTGCATTGCGCTCTATATAACGTATTTATGTTGTGATTATTATCGACCGATACTGTGAACACTTGCACAAATATCTCAGGAAAATTTTAGTGTTTTTTTATATTTCTTATGATAGGAATAAATATTATTAACTTTTTATCAAACCTTTTGAATTCAATCTATTACGAACCCTTATGTACGACACACAAGGCACGTTAAATATTGATTCAATTTCGCAAAGACCTGGAATACTATAAGATAATGGAAGAGGGAGTATAATAAATAGATATATGCTTGGATAGTAATGTATCACATTATTTATGAAGTATATTTCAAAGAAAGTGTTAGATCTCATTACGTCTCACATTCTAAAGCAAGCTAATGTCAATAGAAAAATATAATTTACACTCATATAAGTCTGATCAGAAATTTTATTTATGAGGCTATTATGAATATTTATTGTGTCATGGGGAAATCACATTTTTTTAAAATTATTCAATCAGTACTTATACCATCACTAAAAAGCTTAATGTCTTCTAATGTTCAGACTGCAGAAATTTATTTAAAAGATCTAAAATTAATATGTATGCATACTGTTTTTATTGTATTCTTTCTTATGTACAGGGTGATTTATGATCATGGGACAAACTTGGAGGGGTGGTTGAGCATACTAAAACATGCATTTTGTGTATAGGAATGTAGGGTCTAAAGAAGTAAAATGACATGGAAGGCAAAATGAGTTTATTTGCAAAGTTAACACAAAGCACTTCTTTGCAGCAATACAGTATTCACAAGAAATATTGAAAAGAATGATCACCAACAATAATACAAACTACAGCTGTGACTGGCTGGCAATGGAGTGGGTAGAGGGCGGTAGTGAGCTGAGTAAACCACGATCCTATTGCATCAGTGGAAAAATTACTTGGATGCCGATTTTGCAGGGTGATGAATTGGGTGGGGTGGACCAGTCCAGTGGCCGCCCTGTTCGCCAGATTTATCCAGCGTGTATTTCTTTTTATGGAGGCATATGAAGAGCATTATTTACGAGACTCCTGCTGACTCACTGGAGGACCTCCTTGCACGAATATCTATTGCGGCTGCAAGCATACGCGAATTGCCTAACATTCTTCAAAATGTTCGATGAACTCTTCTACAATGCTATCAAGCATGTATTACTGCTTGTGGTTGCAATTTTTAATATTTTTGGTGAATATTGTATTACTGCAAAGAAGCAATTTACATTGATTTTGTAAATGATCTAATTTTTCCTCCTGTGTCATTTTTTGCGTTCATGCCTTAATGTGTCACTTTAGACCCTGCATTCCTGTACAAAAAATACATGTTTTATAGTATGCTTAACCACTGCTGCAAGTTTGTCCCATGATCATAGAATCACCCTGTGTAATGTATTCCCCTTTTCTCTTAAATTTCAGTAATTTGATTGTTAAACTTCTTTAACTTTAGTAAGTTATTTTAACATCAGTTTTAATTTAAACTAATTTTTTGTACATTGAATTAAAATCACTTTCAAATTTAATTATTAAATAGTGGAATTCTGATTTCTTTTTTTTTTTTTTTTTTTTTTTTTTTTTTTTTTTTTTTTTTTTTTTTGGAGGGGAGGGGAGGCTGTTTATTCCAAAAAATTCCTGAGTTTGTTCCTGAACAGTGTTTCATGAAAAACTCGTACTTAAAAATTAACTGTAGTTTAAAATTTTCAGTTTCATGCATGTTTAGTATTACTTTTGTTAAGCACTTGTTTCCTTCTTTTACAGTGAAATCTGTGACTTCTCAGGTTACTGCTGTTATAAATTTTGTTCTATCTGTTGGAGGCAGTTTCATATTTGCTTTTAAGGCAGTTGAATATGCATTACCAGAACAAAATATTCCTGCTGTAAGTATAATTTTTCAAAGCATGTATGCAAATATATATTAAAATTATTGAAAGATTATTATTATAAAGACACAATTAGTTGTTAATATCTTAACTGCTATTTTGATATTTTGTAACGTTTAAAAATATGGATGTTTTCAAACATTTATGATTATTTTTGTTGTTGTCATGGTGTTTTTCAATGAAATCTTTCTTTTAATGTACTGAATTAATGACATTCAAAAATTATTATGTATGTAAAATTTAATGTATATCCATCTCTACAACTGACAAGAAACTTATTTTTGTGGCTTTGCAGTTTTTATGTATCTGTTTATAAGTTGTGTGCTGACAATGGCTAAATGAATAAAACCATGAAATAAAACTATAGTCAACTTAAATTCTATTCCCAGCAGTTAAAAAAAAAAAAAAAAAAAAAAAAAAAAAAAAAAAACAGTATAAAAGTAGGGACTCTTATATTAGTTAAAGAGCATAAACTACCTCCATGCACTTCGATAGTAGGCTGAATCTATGATACCATCCCTGGAATGTTAAAAGAACTAATTTTAAAAAAATAAAGAACAATTTAACAACTTAAACCCAACGTAGCCTAAACTTATGGCACCATTGCTGAAAGAAAGAGTTTTGCTATGTCCCTCCTTTTCTGTAACTGGCATTGATTCATGCGGATCCTTTTATATAAAATGTAAGAACCGACGAAGAGGTAGTTTAAATAAGATATATGTTGTCATATTTGTGTGCTTAGTTATTCGAGTGATACATCCTGATTTTGTTACAGATCTAACATCGCAGGCTGTAACTGCAACATTAAAAAGATTTTTTGTGCAATGTGGCTTTAGCTAGACTATATATTTGGATAACACCACCAAGTTTGTTGGAGTCAACTCCATCACGGAAAAGCTGTTAAACCTTGTCAAAAGTTCACCTAGTCTGTCGTCATACTTATATTGTTTAGTCTTTCATCGTATTCTGAATCAATCATTTGGAAGTTCAGTCCACCTCGATCTTCTAATTTCGGTTTTATTTATGAGGCCAGAAAGAAATCCTTTAAACATCATATAAAATGAGCAATCGGAAACTCAGAATTAACTGTTGAAGAATTTTTACTGTCATAAATCAAATTGCATTTTAAAAAGTAGACCTTTGTTACTTTTGTCTTAAATTGCTAATGACTTCGAAACTTTGGCCCTTGGTCATTTTTTAATCAGAAGACCCCTTAATACTCTGCCTGAAACTTGCATTTCAGAAATTCCAGAAAATAGACTTTCCCACTGGCAGAAAATTATCAAAATTAACCAAATAATGTGGAAGAAATGGCCCAAAGACTATCTAAATAATCTTCATTAGAAAAGTAAATGGTTCTTTGAAAAGTACAACATAAAAAAGGTTACCCTGTGCACTTGGATAGCAGGCCGAATCTATTATACCATCCCTGGAAGCATTGATAAAATCTGTATTGTTGTTATCAAAATCCCTCAAGGACTGATAAAACATGGAATATCTAATATGTATATTCTGCCTACAAACGACTGAAGTAGTGTAATTGTATTATAATTCTTTGTATTAATATTGCATGTTTCTTCTTTAGAAAAATTCAGTTTGTTGAATAGATATATTGCATTTAATTGTTTAGAATTGATATGTATCTAACTTGAATGTTCATAAATTGTGTATATTAGTTTTGAAATTAGTATTTCACCGTCAGGCAGGATTTTGGTGCCTGACGGTCTCTCCTAAGCGAAAACTTTCCCTTTTATCAACATTGCCTAACAATGAATCATGTAACACGTAATGTACCTCATGAGTGGACTGTTGAGCTAGAGTGAAATCCCTTAAGCATAATATAAATTGATCTAGTTGCATGAATTTCTTTTTTCTTTTTACAATACAAATGTCTTTAGTAGAGTCTTTTGAAACATTTAGTATTAGTTTGTTGTTTTACTTCTAAATGAATATTTAGTAGCTCACTAATGTCTGAGTAGTAAGACTGTTGAACACTGGTAGTTCAACTTAGGTTCAAATCCTGGCAGATAAGAGTTTTTTTTTTTTTTTTTTTAATTTTTATTTTATATATATATATATATATATTTCCCCATATGTAGCATAAATATAAACCAGCTTCCTTTAAAAATTCCTTATTCTTTGCCATAATCCAATCTGAACTGTTAGGCTGTTATATTATATTGTGTTGCATGACTTGGCAAGTGCTTGCAATTGCACAATACATATTTTTGTCTTTCTCATAATCTAATGGACAGCCAGTGTGTTGTTATTTGTAACACGCGTTATCATGTAACACGTAATGTACCAATGTAGTTTTCTTTTGATATTGGTATTTTGATCAGCTGATCTTTGTTTTGCTTCTGAATGGCTGCTTATTGTGTGGTTAGATGATGAATTTGAAAAGAAATTAGTTTCGTTGTTTCGTAGTTGCAAATCTTATGAGTGGTAACTACGACATAAACCTATGTCATAGACGTTCCACATTTTGAGACATAAAATCTCAAATTTACATTTCAAATTCTAACTGTGTATTGCTTAGCAAACTGAGCAATTTAAAAGTAATAAAAGTGTTCTTTAACAATTAAAATATTTTTCCATAATACTTTATCTAATTCGTTTAATATAAAATATAATGATTTTATAATTACCAACCATGATTACCTGAGATAATTGGGTACCTGATATAAACATATACTCCAACTACTACGGATTCTCCGCAGTTTCTACAGAAATTCATGATAAACTATGAGCTACGAAAAGTATGGAAAAAACTACAGATTTTACAGAAACAGAGTAGGAGAACCAGTACGCAAAACGGAACCAACTAATTCATCCAATGATTGGCTGAATACTCGTGTCATCATATATCACGTGTTGAGTGCATTGCTGATTTTGAAGAATAGCCAATCGTAGTAACTCCAACCGTTAATGACTGGTCGATAGTCCCCACCACAACATCTGGTCTTACAGGTTCGTTGCTACTGCGTGATTAGCTTGCCTTCGGCTCCATTGCTTGTATTACAGCGAGAGCTTAGTGAGTGTCTTGTGAACTGGGATTCAGGTGGAAGTTTTTTAATAATGCTACATTGGATGAAAGAGCCAAAATTTTCAAAGCAGAAATTTAAAGATTCATATTCTTTAGAATTTCCATGCATTAAAGCATCCGTAATTTCTGTGAATCACACACACTGCAGTGTATGCAACAAAGACTTCTCAGTTGCACATGGCGGTAAAGATGACCGTAAACGGCATGTTTTTTCTCAAAAACATATAGAACTTGCCACTGTAAAATTTAAAGAAATAACGAATTTCTTAATAAAAGATGACGAAACAGGTCCTATAGAAGCCCAATGCTATTTTGTTCGATTTTTAATTGAACACAATCTACTGCTTTCTGTTTTGGATCATTCCAAAGAGCTTTTCAAAGCAATGTTTCCGGATTCTGCCATAGCAAAATAATTTAGCTGCGGTCATACCAAAACTGCCGTTATTGTGAAAACGCTTGCAGAAAGTACTGTTGCTGATATTATAAAATCAGTGTGCAATGCATCGTTTTCTCTAAATACTGATGGAAGTAATGATAACAAACTGTATCCATTGATTATAACATATTTCAATAAAGAAAAGGAAGTGATAATTACGTCATTGATTTCTATTTTAGAGAGCACGAATAATACCGGAGAAGGTATTTTTAATTATATAAATGAAAATTTTAAAAGCAAAAGTTTAGAATGGAAAAATTGCTTATCATTTTCTTCAGATAATGCTAGTAATATGATTGGAAAGTTTAAAGGTGTAGCATCATTTATCAAAATGCATCAACCAAGTATAATAATCCGAGGTTGTCCATCCCACCTTTTCCATATAGCTGTGAAAAATGCTACTGAAAAATTAATTGGCTCAGAAATCAAAATGTTGTTAATAGATATATATTTTTATTTGGAGAAAAGTTCGAAACGGAAGCATAGCTTCAAAGTTGCTGAACAAATTTTGGGACAGAACACAAAATCTCATTAAATTTTGGAATATTGCAGTACGAGATGGTTGTCTCTTTTAGAATCTATAACAAGGATTTTAGAACAGTGGGATGCCGTGATAAATTTTTTTGGAGATCAACCAGATAACAGTGAGAATGAAGGAAAGAGATTGCAGAACATTAAAAAAATGTTACAATCACCTTCCACCAAATTGTACTTGTTATTTTTGAAAATACTTTGCCTTTGTTTATAACAGTAAATATTAATTTGCAACAACAAGCTCCTTATATACATAAATTGAGAAGAGAACTTGTTGAAATTTTAATGAATTTATTTGTTAGATTTGTAAAACCATCAATAATTTCTAAAGAAAATGAAGATTTTACTCTAACATCTCTTTCATTTCAAAAGTATAGTAAACAAAAAAGAAAATTAAAATTTAGTGATTGGTGCAGAAACAAGACTATATTTTAAAAACGCCAAATTGAATGAAAGTGAAGTAAAATCATTTTTCAGTTCTGTGCGAGCTTTTTTTGTAACTGCATGTTCATATATAACAGATAAATTTCCACTAAGTGATCCATTTCTAAAACATGCTGAAGTTGTTGACATCAACTTGAGGACTGAAGTTTCACTTTCATCTGTTCTTTACTTGATGAATACTTTTCCATCCATTATTGATGAAAAATATCTTAATCAAGTGGAAATTGAATTTTCCATGTATCAAGTAGATGATTTGAAAGAAATTGTAGATTTGCATATTGATATAGCATGGGAAGAAGTTGCTAAATTAAAAAATATCAACGGGTGTATTAAATACAAAGTATTGCCTACTGTAATGCTTGTTTTCTTAATAATACCTCATTCAAATACAGCTTACGAAAGAATTTTTTCTATTGTTAAAAAAAATCAGACGGAATTTCGACCAAATTTAGGTCCTAAAACTCTCGAAGCAGTTTTGATTGAAAAAATAAGTATGCAGGCAAATGAAGAACTGTGTAATAAAAAAAACATTCTCAA